CTGGGGCCTTGGTGTTATCAGCACCGCACTCTCCCGAGTGAGCCACGGGCTGGCCCCACCCACTTGTTTTTGCTAGAAGGCAGGGTTTCCAGGTATGCAGAGACCCTCAGAATTAACCCTTCAGTTGGATTTTGCACGGTAGTTTGAGTCATGAGAGAAATCAATTAATTTAGCACATACTATACAAGGGTACTTCACAAAGTTCATGAAAATATAGATTTGAGAGATAATACAAATCTTTCCATGAACTTTTTAAAGTGTCCTTGTATGTTGGGCTCTGTCCTAAGTGCTTTCTGTATATTAGTTCACTAATCATCACAACAATCCAATGAGGTAGAATTAATATTGTCTCTGTTTTGCAGATGAAATCACTGGGGTCCAGAGTTGCAAGCATGACATTTTTGTTCTGACTGTTCCACAGTTGCCAGCAACTACAAGGCAGCTCAGCCTCATGGGCAGAGGGTGGGCACGGGGAATAAGAAGCCAGCATGTCTACATGGGTTACCTTCCATCTGAAAGGACTTTTTAATGTGCAAAGAGCATTTGCATCATCATCTGACTTAATGTTTTCAACAGCCCTGTGAATATGACTATTATTTTGTTCTATTTTGAGATGTGTTCATTGAGATTCATACATGAAAGTAAGGTTGCCAGTAAAAGAGCAGGATGCCCAGTTAAGTTTGAATTTCAGTATCAATAAATCTTAGGAAACTTGGGGGATATACTTATACTAAAAATTATTTGCTATTTATCTCAAATTCAAATTTGTAGCACACGTTTGCTAAAAATAGTTCGTTGCTTGCCGAACTCAAATTTGGGACACTAAAAAACTACTTGCTGTTTATCTGAAATTTAAATTTAACTAGGCATACTGTATTTGCTAAATTGAGCTACCATGCATGGACATGACTCATCTGAGGTCACACGGCTAGCATGGACCCTGAACTCTTAGTCCACTGCTCCTCTTCAGTTCAGTCTCTGTTCTACCTCCATAGCTTGGAGCAAGTGAACTGCTCTCTGCCCTTCCCTGAATAATCCACTCCACATGCCACAGCCCAGCAATCCCTGCAATATGAGCTCAAAATTCAACTTGCTCAGAAACATCAGAATGACAGTGGCAGTGCAGCTCTCCATCTTCTGGACAATGGCGTTGATCTTCTCCAGGGACTCCTGGGAGGAGATGTAGAGGTGGAACTCGATGCAGACACTGGCCTGGCCCAGCTCCTGGGTCACCAGGGTGCTGCCCTGCTGCCCCAAATCATTATCCTGTGCCAGAATGCCAACCCAGGACCAGTGGAAATGGAGCACCAGCTGGGCCACTGCTTGGGAAAATGTGAGGTCACTGGCCAGTGTCCGAAGGAAAGATGGAAACTGAATCTTGTCACTGAGGCTGGCCAGCGTGGATGCATAATTGATTTGCGTGGAAAGGGACAAGGGCAGTAGGAGAGAAGATGAAAACTTAGAATTTACAGGCTGATCGTCAGGTTTAAACCAGAAAAATTGAGCAAAAGGAAACAAGAGCAGGGGTGACCAATTCATCCCAGGTTGCCCTGGACAGCTTTCCCAGTTTTGCTGGTGAAAGTCCCACATCCCATGAACACTCTTAGTCCTGGGCAAGTGGGCATGGCTAGTCACCTTAGCTAGAGCAGAGCCAAGGACAAGATTATCTCTCAAGAAACACTAGTGGCTGCAGTTACATCATCGCCTAGCCCAAAGCGTCTCCAATGTTAACTGATAAAGGTGGTTCGGGGTGGGGTCCCAGAGTTTGCATTTCTAACAATCTCCCAGCTGTTGATGATTCTCAGTCTGTACTTTGAGTAGGGAGGTCATAGCTCATCATGGAACCATTTAGATAACATTTTTAAAAATAGCAAAGGTTGAATCTTCATCACTATCCTCACATTCCTTTCAGGAGTCAGTGTAATATCTGTCACATGCTCATTCCCTCATTGTGAGAGTGTTTGCATGATAGTTTTTGAAAATGATGCTCTGAGAGTTATGGAGGTTCTACTGAGATGCCCAGGTGGGCTCGCTGCTTCTGTGCCCCTTACTGTCTGGATTAAGCCCAGAAGTGGCTTTTGGAATGACACTCAGAAAGAA